AAAATTGCCCGTCAAAAAAATTCCAAGAAAATAAATTCGGGCATGCGTGTCAAAATGTCGTTAAATAAATACGAGGAGCATTAAAAAAAAAACATCGACAAACATGTAGTCGATTTATTTGAATGCAATGCAGAAATTTGATTATTCGTAAAAAAGAATAGTAAAAATGAAAGTACAAATGTACAAAACCGACGAGAAATAAATACAGACGCCTCCGCAAGTGAACACATTACAGTACAATGTACCTTTGTTGCATCAGAAGTTTGCGGCCCCTGATGTTGGGTCATAAATGCTTTAATCACAAGTATTTACGAGTTTCTGTCGAAATACATGGAAAATTTTTGTCCATTGAGTTCATTTATCCCAGTAATATTCACTCTTACATCTATACTGTCTATGCTATCTATAGGAGATAAAACAAATACTTATCTCGTAATAAATAAGAAGTCAAAAGCGATCAAAATACAATTAGTTTTTGAGCACAGACTTATTGACAATATCTTTTAAGAGTTTTTATGAGTTTTTTGATGGGTTTTTTAGACATACCCTATATCTGAAATTCACATGAAATATATTTGCGATAAAAAATGAAATTTATCACTTATATGTCTCGCATAATTATTAGCATATATTTTTTTTTCTTGGTCGCCTGTCAAATTTGATAAAGAACGTTCCGGGGATAAGAAATGAAATCGGAATCTTCTGATTATCAAAAGTATTCCAAATGTACCTTATCCCCGCATTTTTCGCGGATATTCTCTTCTTCACAAATACGGATCTCGCATAATTTTCATTCCATTTTCCTCTTCGGTTCTCCCAATGCCATCATAAACGAAAAATCCAATACCAATACGCAGAGCAACAACATATACATGATATTTCATTTGATTCAGCATTATTACTGGTTCAATCTAGCCCTGTTTCGTATCATCAAATACGAAATAGCAGAGGCCCATGGCACCCCTTAATGAACGTTCCCAACATCGAGATGGAAAAATCGTAGCAGGACTGAGGCGAAATGCCACCGGAGATTAAAATTCCAGTTAAAGGGTTAGACCCCGATGGTGTGAGAATATGGGTGTTGACAATTTTCGAATTCACCAATGTAAATGCTGATAAACACGTGCAAAAGCCCACTCGTTATCACCCCAAATCCGTGACTGTTATGGCATTCTCTGAAAGGAGAAAGAAAAACAAAATGAGCTCGAATATAAATTTTCCATTTGGCTGGAATAATACAGCATTGAAAAATATGCCTTCCCCCTGGACATATGTTCAACAGGTCATAAGAATGTCTTAGGTGGAAGCGGAATTAGTAAACGGCGGGACTAAAACGGAATATCGTTGGTTTATACAATATCACATTTGAAATTCTTTGAGTACACATGGGACGAGCGCTTCTTCTGGTAATTTCTAGAGCTCATCGCAGCTATTTCTTTCGGTGCTCTCGACAGATTGTAAAAATTAAAATAACCCCGGGGTGACATTTCCACGAAGCAACTGTATTAACTCATACTTCGTAGTACAGATTATAGAGAAACGTACCGCACTGTCTTTTAATAGACTCCGTTAGGTTTTTTTCCTCCGAGCATACGAACCCGCGCCAATGGCAGACTCAACATTTGTTCACACGTGTTTGCACAGGCGCATTTTTTTCACCTCGAATATTGATTTACGAGCGAGTTTTTGGAATTGCCACCTTCTGCCATCGCAATTAAAGGACAAGTGTAGAAAAATTAGTGAAAATTACCGGAGACGTGAGATCTGAGAGAATTTTTCCGCGAGAATTATCAAATGGTTTTAGCAACTCCCGGAATCTATCGTGTTTAGTCTCCATCCAACATTATCGATATGCAAATTAATATTTATTCTCACTCCTCATGACCGCCTAGTTTATGTGGCATATAAGGAAAGATGAAAATGAAGCTATTCGTTATGTAGGTAATCGAGAAAGCAGCCGAGATAATGGATGGTCGACATCATTCGGTGGTGAATAACGTTTCTAACAATAAATTGCTAAATTGCGTGCTAGACCCTCGCCCTTGCTACATACTGAGGTGTACTAACGTATTTCTTTGAACCACTTTATCAGATACCCATCTGAGGGAATAGTGTTGAAGTGTTCACTGCGGAACTGTATGAGTATTTTTCCGATGTAATCACTCCTAATTCCAACTATTACGACATTTAAATTGGTCTTGACATTTTCATTTTCATTGGAATAAATTATTATTGGGAAGAAAAAGTGTCTCGAGGAAAACTACTGACATTTCAAAGGCCCCAATGATGAAAAAGCCCTGGCCAACGTCTTTTATTATGATGACGCATGAGGTGTCGAGTCGTGAACAGCTGGAGGTCTCCAGCCATCTAGGATATAGTATGAGGAAGTTTTGAGACATCGCAGACCTACAGATGAGCAGCAGATTGCTCTCATTATCCCTCTCTCCGTGTCAATTCCAGTGCTCTCACACTGTATGTCTCAGGCGGTGCTATCCTACCATTATCTACTTGGTTTCTCCCCCTACTGTTAAACTCCATCTCAACCCCTGAAGCCTGTCTTCACAGCCGGGCAATAACCAGAAAACAGAGGACCAAACCCGTTGAGCCATGAAAGGAGACTCCACCTTGCCTCTTGGAACGTTGTGAAGAATTTATCCATTGGAGGTACAGCCCTCTCGTGGGATGAGACGGTGTCTGGTGATTGGATTTTGACTGCCTCTATTTTACGACCACAAGAGACCGATCACCGAAATTTGATTGCCAGATAGGAATTTGGAGGATAAAAAAAATCCAGGTGGAATCTCCGGATTGAATTATTCCCTTCGAAATGCGCAGTTTCATTCCAAAGAGATAGCCATTCAATTTCAATTAATTATCAGTTATTATTAAAGAAAGGAATTATTGAAATTCTCTGGGATCATCCATCTATCATTCAATTTTCACTAATTGGCACACGGTGAATTTTCCAAAAAGGCGGTCATATGGAATTTATGGAGAATGAAAAATAAATCCAGGTGGAATCATCGAATTGAGTTATTTCCGTGGCAATGCGCCCTCGTGTGATTCAAAAGAGAAAGCCGTTGAATTCAAATTTATTATTAGGCATTAATTAAAAATAATGTGCGGGCATGGCTGAGAAAAGCCGCGAGAGTAGAGAAAAATCCGTGATGAAATAATAAAGCGTAATTTACGATGGTTGAATTAATACTGGCGGTGTAAAACCCACAGTGTCATTCATGGCTTTCCGACGTGGGTGACAAAAAGCCAATGTTAGTAAAGTGCACGACAGGGAAAACAGGAATTTGAAGTGCGGTGTGACATAGACTCTGGTAGGTAGAGTATCACACGTGGTGTAATGCCAAATCAGAGTACGTGCCGGAACGCGTGAAACACCAGCTCCATAAATTGTAATTAAATCATAATGCGAAACCACAGCTCGGGGTGCACAGCTACCACCCACGTCGCACCTGTATTGGATCCAATTGCTCCCTTTGCTCCACCATCGGATAATTGACTCGCGCGTCTGCCGTACCAGCCAGAAATGAAATATTTTTCTTATCGATCGGTCTAATAATTCCTTGTAAGGATACTATTCTTTGATTTATAGCACTTGAACTTGTACCTATTTGCATGCTCTGGTGCTTCGCTGAAAGTTGCCAGCGCTCGCACTCATTATAAATGGGAATTCCACCTAAAATGTCGCCAAGGGTTGTATCGCAAGAGGCAAAAGGAATTTAATTAGAGTGCACAACGGGGACGGCACTCAGGTATCACTGGCTAAACGAGTTTCATCCATTAGATGGAAAAGCCTACCACTTGCTGTGTTTTCACTATTTGTTGTGTAACGGTTAAAAATTCATTTCCATCAAGTCTCGATTGTTGAGCAATGAATGGAGACCTCAGCTTCCTCACTCACTGAGAAGTTTGACCCATAGCCAACTCTTTTGTTCTACCGTTGAACGCAAAATCAATGGTCTTTCCTCGGGAGAAGTTTCACCTAGAACCTCGTGCGCTTTGCATTTGCTTGCATATTCATTCGCACTCCTATTCAAGAATCCTGAATACTTTGTCCGCGGAAATACCATGAAACGAGAAGCCAACATTCTCGTGTTTATTAAAATGCTCACCATGAGCTTCACCAAGTGCTTGCTTGACAAATCGGGACATCATCTCATGCCCCATATTTTTATATCAAATATTTTCCAACTTTTCATTCTTCACTCCTTCCGGGGTCACGTTCGTCGCGCAATGAAAACTTTAATACTGGTCTAATAAGAAAACACGTTTGTTTTATGATGCACATATAATACCTGCAAACCTTAAATCGTCTCGTACCACTCTATGGGCGTTCCTGCGTTGAATTGCCTGATTTACATAAACTAGATAACTGCAGCACCTTATTACAAGTCGAGGAAAAACTTTCAGCAAAAAATGAAATTCCCCGTTTAATGTTAACTGCTTGGCAAATGCCAACACGCTCGTCAACTTTTTTCGGGTAGTTTCGATAATTTTTATTTAAAAAATCGTTGAGGGGACAATAAGCGATAAAAAATACGATAAGTCATGTTGTTCTGAGTTCTTGGAAGAAAATAATCAAGCTAATTAAAATGTATCCTAGAAAAATGGCATACCACATCCCTTTCTTGCGATAACGCCCGCCATTCATTTTAACCAATGGAATTGTTGAAAAATCATGTCATTGCTTACCTTCAGATCGTGTTCTATGGCGTTGAACTTTAATCAATATCACATGGAACCCGTCGTAGGGAAGTCCTAAAAAACTCTTCGATCAAATCAAAGTCCATAATCCTTGTGTGCGGTTTGGGAACCGGTAACCAGATTAATCCGCTTATCCTTTGATTGATTGAACGAGCAAGCCAATGACCGCGGTAGTGATCAATCACGTATTGACCAATTGCGCGGGATTAATAGATGTGGATAATTAAAGGTGCAGACAGCAGGAAAAACACGAATTCGAGAAAAGCCAAAAGAGAGCCATTTATTATTCAATATTCTTCAATACTCCTATTGTCAATTTATTTCCATTCATTTTAAACAATCAAATGAATACATTGAGTACAAACTATATTTCAAATTTACAAATATTTTTAGACATTGAACGGTCAGCTGTGAATTGATGGAAAATAATGTGATATGCGAGGACAATGAAATGCTTATTCTCGTGATTTTCCACTCGCGTGCATCGGGGATTCCCGCGAATGAGAATGAAATCACGGTAACTCCCAACTTGACACAGAGAATAGTAAATTACACGTGAATGCAGATGGTCAGTCATACATAAATCATAAATCTTATTGTCAATTTTCACTTCATTGAAGATGCACTTTCTCTCCCCGATTTCTTGCCACATTTCGAAATCCGGGGTGATTTCCATTATGGTATTACAAAAAAATAAAAAATACAATTAAATTATAAATTTCATCTGGCGGACATCGGTTCAAATACCTGAGTATGTTAATTAATTAATTGAAATCGATGGTTATTATAATTATTATGAGAATGAATGGATCATAATTTTTCTTTGGTCAATCGTGTGAACTTACAGTAGACGGTGATGCAGTGGAATTTTCTTCTTTTCTACGATGTTTGCATTTTGCAACGAGTCGTTTTACTCTTTTGAGGATATCCTTGTGAGTAGTTAGCATCAGTAGCCAGAGGAGTGGTTGAATCATTCTGCATATCTTTAGCACGATGAGAATGTTAAAGCAGGCCAGTGCCATTCCAAAAAACCAGGGCGCTCCCATCAAGAGATAAAGTCTCAGGAACAGAAAATATTTTTTCGTCAGTACATTGCTCTGATTGCGCGTTGCAATTTCGGTGCTCCGCTGTATTTTGATGATTTTGTAAGTCGTCAGCACAAACAGAATATTATTCAACAGGAGAACGAATGCCGGTAGCAGAAAAAAGTATAAATTAACAACTACACTCGGTCCTTTGCTGTAATTCAAGTAATTGGGCTTCAAGACAAAGTCACTGCGCACGTAAGGAATATAGTCACAGAGGGCAGCGAGAAGTGTCGGCAAAAATGGTCCACCCCAGGCAAAAATACTGTACATGAGTAGTTTACGTGACTCAACTTCACTGGTTTTATGGGAAGTTTGGGCTATCCATCGAAATTTTATTATGGCGAGTGTCATGTCGAAGCAGATTCCATTGAGCCAGAAAACGGTGGCAATGGTGAAATACTGGAGAACAAGCCACAGCAAAATCATGATGTGATCATTAATAGGACAAGCCTTGAGTTCACAATAACCCAGAACCTGCAGTGTGACGCCTTGCATCAGGAGGCAAATGGTGTGTCGGACAACCGCACGATTGTACAAACCCCGTCCCAATTCTGGAACAGACAGGTAGACGAGAACAACGACAGTGCACAAGATCATGTGAGCGAGATTCGTTGACATGTACGTCTGAGCGCCCCAGAACACAACCGAGCACAATCCAAGTATTGACGAACCCTGATTGACACATTTGGCTATTACGGTTTTTCCACTGAGCGTGTCTTCGATGCACGAATCATTATCTCCATTCAAAGTCACATACTCTGCGTAACCAATTTGGTATTCCTTGTGGACAACCAATGATTCATTATTTCGACAGTGAAACGTCAGCGCCTTCGTTGCAATATCAGAATCATTGATTATATTATCCGTTATCCGTTTTACACACGTCAGATGTTCGTCGAAGAAACAATCGGAGCGACAACACTTCTGGGGTATTCTCCAGTGATGTGTAGAATTGTTGCAATTCGTTGATCTGAATAGATGCAGAATAATAAATATGGAAACCCTCCCCAAAACTAACCCCGACGTGAACATGTTGACGGATGAGCCATGCGATAACGACTGGTGAAGTTGACTCACCGTGACCGCGACCGTGCATCATTTTTCAACGCCATTCTTCCTTATTCCTCAGAGTGCTATGTACGAGTTTTCATTGGTCATGCGTGACCACTTTCGATAGAGTACCACAATCATAAGAATAAATATTGTATTATCAGTATCTTCTCCATTCTTCTATTTACGTACGGAAATTCAAATACGCGCATTTGGCTGAGTCCCAATCCCCCAATAATTGATCGATACCTCCTAACTGCTGAGATATGCCAAAATTTTTAACTTCATACCCCGTTCGAAAGTACGCACTTCCTGCTGCGATTTTGAAGCACAAAGTGGAATTTTCTGAATTGGTCCAGTTACACGTACGCCTTCTACAACAGCAGGAGTGAAAACTTATTCATGCACTGATACTCAATACGTGAGAGACGATCTCAGTACGAAACATATAAAAAATGGAGAGAAGGAAATGAAAATGCCGTATCAAAATTTGAGAAGAGTACTCTAGTTGTATATTTCAAAGTCAAGTTAAGTCAAAGACTAAATCAGTCCGTAATTTTTACTGAATATTGTTTTGACTGGCAGATAACGAAACAGACACGTAATTTTCATTGAATTTTTCTCTCCATGAAAGCTTAATTATTCATTAAATTAATTTTAATACGTATGTAATCAGTCCGTACTTTCGAGTGGGTATAATGAAAAATATTATAACTATATGGGCAGATAGTTGAAATTTTTTCTTTCCTGAACAGCAAGTCATACTGCCCTCGGCTTCGCCTCGAGCAGCATGGCCCGCGGCAGTGTAATATACTATATATAAATCTTTTTTGTAGCAGATATATCACTCTGTTAATAAGATATTCACAAAAATTCCTCTACGATTCTTCAATTAGGAAATATTCACCGATAATTGAGCCTATGAAATGAAGTGAAATCTATTTACATCAATTCAGAACGAAAAACAATGGTTAATTATGATTGATTGGTGTTTTGGGATGATGCATGTGTTTGCCCGTGTATTAGCAATATTATCAGGAGTTATTCTATGCGTTTGCCGAGTCCTTCCTCAATATTATTCCACTAGGCTATTGCGTTACAATGGCTCTCTGTGTCAACAGCACTTATGCATATTTTTAGAATGCATGTATTCATTGAGGATTCGCTATCGCAAGTTATTTTGTCAAATACAGAAACATTCCGATGATGCCATTGTCGAATGATCCTTCAGTTGACATACTGTGGTAATTATTAGCAATTTCAAGATATTAAATGAGAGGGATCGTGCAATTGACTGATCATGTTCAATGTTTCGTGGAGAGCGATTTATGATGAACGATTTAGGCTTTTTATGATTTATCGCAATTTAAATAAGCCACTTGGATCACTGGGATTAGCCACACACCGCGAACAAAGCCTGTGAATTATATGAATCTCCTCTCGCTGATCATATCCCCCGGGTTGGTGAATGCAAAGTACTTGTCTGTATGTATAATACACATTCGCGGAAAGTCACGTGAGAGCTTCAGGTATGACTCAACAGTAGTGTCCAGCGATGGAGTAGAGTTGCAGTAGGCTTTCCAGAGGAAGTTACAATTTAACATCCCACGGATGTTCGACGCTGAACGTGCCGATCAGTCGATCCTGAGTGTCTTGCAAAATGTATCAGTTGAAGAATGGTATTATCGCCATTCTCACCAGTTTTGTGTTATTTGCTAAACCCAGTAATGCCGCGCTCTTCAAGTGCTGTGGTGATGGATTTGTTCTTGATGATCATCTGGAGTGTCAAACTGTTCATGATAAGACCAACATCTTCCTGATGTTGAATGGTACGAGAGAAGTTTTGAGAGAATGCTCCAAAGGTAAGGATTAACTATTTATGATATTCATCAGAAGCGAGGAGGTCTTCAAAATGATTATTTGAATTGATTTACTATTCCCGTAAAGTAATTGAGATGTAATCATCTAACCATTCCACAAGAGCAATTCAGTTTGAATCAATTAGTTTGTATGAGAATTTTTAATATCATGAAACGCCAGAAGATAGCGACCTCGATGTGGCTAATGAGTTTAATAGAAAGTTGTGTTAATACTGCCACAGATAACATTGTATTGAATAGTATCTATTTCCAGGAATTCATGATAACGTAGCAGCAGAAGGTGACGACACGGAGTTGGTCTGCATGGGATTGCACGTGAATGGAACAGTTGTCACATTATCCTGCGATAAGATGCTGAGCAATGAGACATATGGCCACTGCGATAGTCCATTTAAATTGTTGAATTTCTGGGGTGCAACCATGATGATATTCGCTACAATCATCTACACCTTGCCCTACATACTAGTAGCTATTGTCTACTGCGTGTACGCCGATCTGCGAAAAAGGGCATTTGATAATTCACTCATATGTTACAATTCATCATACGTAATGCTCAACTTGACGATCATCACACTCGGCTTCTTCGAGCTTTGCCACAGGCCACTGCCGGATTTTGTGTATGGAATATTGGGATCAGTGATCGTGTACTTTACTCAGGCCTCTTGTTTATGGCTATTCACCCTGTGCTTCGACATGACACTCGTTATTACAAGATTTCGATGGGCGCCGTCAGGCAGTTCGAAGGCACGAAGTGAAAACCGAAAATTCAGAGTTTACTCCATGTTCAATTGGGGATTGTCCGTCTTACCGGCTTTCATCGTTGTGATAACTGAATTCGCATTGTCTCTACCGAAGGAATCGCCGGTGAGAGCGAATTTTTCAGATTTTCATGGACCTCCAAATAAATCTTTATTAATTTACACACTTACTATTCCGGTTTTGTGTCTTTTGACGAACACTGCTCTTTTTATTTATACGAGTTACCGAATTGTGAAGGTGAAAAAGGATAATCGAATATTAAATGAGAATAATGCGAGAAAAGAAAAGGAGAAGTACTTGGTTTACTTGAAATTGTATATAATCATGGATGCTCCATGGTTGACTGGAGCCTTGTCCGCTATTTACCCCAGTCTCTGGATATTGAAGTTTTTCAGGATCTTCCAGCCGATTTTAATGCTCTACATCATTCTGCCGAAGAAGAAAATATTGAAGACGATTGGCTGTTTGAAGAAGACTCAGCAAGTGAGAGTGGAGAATTGCCGGAAGGATCTGAAGGATGATGCACACAAACCGCTTAATGAAAATGCCGTGTGCTAATTATTTCTCCGAAAGACTGCGTGAAATCATTTGGACTGATTAGAAAGTAATTGGGGTTCAATGGGTTGTAATCGAAATATTTGGAAATGTGTTTGGATCGAGTAATCTATGTTTGCCTCGATGGAAAGGGCGGTTCTGAAACTGAACGGGAACTCAGCAATTCCCCAGCAGGAAACAGTTATAGCGCTGGTGATAGACTCTTTAACTAGGTTACGGACAGATTGAAATACTCGGAGCAATAGTTGAGCTCGAGCGCCCTGAGCAAACATCGAATTAATGGAAGAAATTGAAGTTTTGGAGACAATTATAGAATTATTTTGGTTAATAAAGGTAAAAAGCGTACAATAAAGTTTTAAACTACGGAAAATTTTCTATTTCTATTGATATGAGATGGATTGGGAATAAAATATTTCTCAGTCCTGCATTTTCTTTTTATTCCACGTGGGAATGTAAATGGAGGAGTTTGAAGTGAACTTTTGACGTTATGGGGGAGTCGAAGAGAAAATTGAAAATCGAATCAGTCGGAAAATCGGATTACTGCACGGATTCTCCACAACCACAGACACAGCGACTCTTACGTTCATGGAGCTCTGAGTTCTCGGGGTGAAATGATCATATTTCATTATGCTCAGTCATATGTGGGATCTATCTATTATAATCCTACTTTCGAGAAATCGACGTGATGGATGAGGCGATGATAATTGAATCATTTCATCGATTTTTAACTTTGAATTATTATTCAGTCATAAAGAATTCCATAGAGATTCAATTGAGTCATTATATTGAGTGCAATTGAGATTTTCAATTGCATTAATGATATTATTGATCTTTGGGGGTATGAAAAATTTCGTGGCTGTTGTGCCACGAATGACGAGCCAATGAGCAGCTACGAAAATTCTTGGCGGCATTAATACAACTTCTTGGCATTCGGGGGCTAGCGGAAAATTAAAGTGATCCAACTTTCCGGTCGAAGGAAGTTCATATTTTCCGTTCATCTTAATATTCATGACAGAAAAAGCTGCTGGATGCCTCGTTTCCGCACTTTATTTGACAATAAAAATTTGAGGGAGTTATGCAAAAAATAAATAAATGTGTCGAGAATACATTGAATGGACTTGCTCGTTCTAGAAACATTCGTTAGAGGCATTCGAACCTGTTAAATCTTTCTCCGAATATTCTTATTCATATTCTAGATGAGTCAGTGCCATTTTTCGATGTCTGTTCCCATAACTTGGCGAGTGTTTCTGGGTTCACTGTGGAGGGACAACTACGAGGAGCATCTTCACGTCTAGATAACACAATGGTGAGACAACGAACCGAAAGAATAACTCACCCTGAATACAACGCAGTCTGCATCTGGAAAAACGGTGAGGTTCGCAGGCGACGGAAAATCACACGTGCGAGTTTATAAGGTAAATACGTGAAAATGCCATTCAGGTTTATCCCTGAGGATTGAATCATCATTTGAAACGTGAAAGCATGTAAAATCGAATTTAGTTGATGGATAAATGCGATTGTTTATTTAATTTCTTTTCCTTCTCGAGAAGTCCATAGATCAAGTCCCAGTTAAGGGATGAACATTCTTTTACATGTTCGTTTATTTGAAAACGCGGAATGTTTCCATATCATCAACGAGGTGAAGATATGCCAAATGAAAATTTTGATTGAGGGAAAAACTCGATTTTTCAAAGAATTTCCTTTCCTCCCCCAAAAATCGTAGATCCCTCATCGCGCAATTGTTCTTTTTATTTTCAATTTTTTATCTCCACCATTTCCGAAAGGTTTTCCGATCACCTACGTTCGACCGTTAGGATTTCCTCTATCAATTGGACCGACGCCAGAGAATGACAGAAAATAGTACTTTAGGGGTAGTGAAAAAAAAAGAGATGCAACCACCCTTAGCTCGATGACAGTCGGCAAACACCGAGCGCCCCATCTGCAAGGATTTCAGTGAACCCCATCATCCCTTAAACCTCGGGGGCACTTACCCAGAGTGGAACAACCCTAGAAATCATCCATATAATCACACAAACGTCGAAATTATCCTGAAACGCAGCGAATCCCCAGATTATTCTCTCTCCACGTAAAAACTGTCACCAACACTCAAGAAAATATTTTCCGGCTACTCGCATGAAGCCGAATCATAAAAATAGTGATGCGTTGTTCTCCGTACCTTTTGTCCATGTTTTAAACGGCATAACCCTCGTGCACTTGACAATAGCTATTTTCTCTATTGCAGGCGTCACCTAACTTAGTATTATCATTGGCTGCTCGACGGCTCCCGATAGAAATACGAATAGCTTATCGATATCCCCCGCCATTCCAGACATCCATGGAGAATACTCAGCGTTGAAACGAGCGGTAGAGTCCCTCGCGAACCGAAGGACTTTCAATCGCGTCGTTTATCGCTATCCGATTCGGAAAAGATTCGATATTCACAACGCGTGTTTCCCTCGAACCCCTCTCACTGCGTTTCTTGTCCTCACTCCTCTTCTGTTCCTTTTATTCGTTATTTCTTTTATACTTTTTTTTGTTGGTACCCCTGAGCCCGTGGAAAAAAACTCGGAAGCTTCCCAGCCATTCATGCTCATGGAAAACCTCTCGTAGGATTAAGTATATGGGGATCACGTGAATGGAAAGTGAATTAGAACGTTATCCTTGCAACGTGAAAAAGAAGCAGTCTCGAGTGTCGGGTTTTGGCGCGTGTGCGCAAAACCTTGGGATTTACGTGATCATAAAAACCGAGGGGAAAATAAAAAAACATTCCATTTGGCCGATTCCATGTGAAATAGCAAAACAAAGGTAATGGACTTTTTATATCACATTTCCAGGGATTTTCTTTCTCCTTTTTATCAACTTATTCAGTCTGGATTGGAAGTATCGGGGATGCATGGAACTGTATGATGACACTCTTCTCGAAAATCGATCTACTTTGCGTATCAGTGATGTAGTAAGATTGGGGTTTTGGAGATCGGTTCAAGTGCATTATGAATTTGATACTCGCCCAGGGGGAAGATGCTGCGGGTTGACTTGAGTTTATAAGCCAACAGGGCAAGTTCCTTAGCCAAATCCACGGGTCCTTAGCGAAATTGGGTCGACGTTTGGTCCCACCACACGACCATATTCACCATGATTCCCCATTGGTTCAATTCCATCGACTCGGATGAAGCACCATGCCTCTAGAGATTTCCGGACACTCCAGAGAGTTTGTCTTGCTCCAGTTCTGCCGGTGAGGATCCTTGAGCTTGGGCCTTCCTCTCTACCCTACGAAATGCACCAGCGATGCCAGGATGACGCACTAAAGCTGTATATCTATCGGATTCACTGCCTCTCCTGTTCTCTGATGCAAGGAGAGCTTGTAATTCAGACCTCTACAGCCACTTATCATCAGAACTATTATGTTATTCTCCTCTCGTTTTTGTTTTCACTCCACAAACTGGCATTTCACATTTTTCTCTCACAAGATTTTTTTACATCTACGGAGTGAGAAATTTATGAGGAAAATTGTAAATTATTTTCACCGCTGTACCGAAATTTTTCTCGTAAATTTTTCTCTGTACCCGCATGTACAAAATCGGATAGAGTCCAATCGGGTTAAACTCAAGATGGCGGATTTTCGCATTGTACGACTTGGCCGAAGAAGGATGGGATCCCGGGATAAGACGTGGGTGATTAATGAATGGATTAATGGATTAGAAACCACGGAGTAATACCAGTTAGCAGGCAAGTCTGAAGTGCTGGGAGTGCGATCCGACGTAACGAGTATTTTAATCCATGCCCATTTAGTCACTCTCTCCCACTTGGAGACAAAAATTGTGGCAATAAGTCTCGTCTCGAATGGTCTTAAAATTGGCCTCGCACGTAATAGCATTCAGGACCACATATGCTTTTGTGCGTCTCATAACGCAGACAGATGATACCTACGAGGACAATATTCGGGTATTTTTTTCTTCCACAAGTACTGGCACCCTGCTGGCTTCATTCCAAATGATGTATGGTCCCTCTAGAGAATTCACCTTGGAGGTCCTAACGGAATGAGAAATCGTAATTCGGCGTCGTTAGGACCTCCTTCAACTCACACACCAGACGAATGGACGAAACCCCGGGCTCGAGGTGGAAATCCCTCTCGAGGGGGAATGAGGTGCCAACCAATGGAGTATTCTTTCGACCCTCAGTGCGAAATTTGAGAAGGTAGTAAAAGAGGTGAACCGCCGAAAATTGATTTATCCACGCGTCACCTGCGATTTATGCACGCTCTGTCAGCTTATCCAGCCTCCTCCGGAGCGAGTGAGACTGCGGTATCAACGCGCTAATAAGCGGATGTCAGGATACAACAAACAACGTTGAAAGATTGTAAATTTAATAACAAAAATATACAGATAATTTATCATACCTCAAGGAGGGATGCTATTGTCGATGAAGGCTGCTAATTGCTGGGATATTTGCACAGGCTGACAGATTGCTGCATGTCGACGAGATTCCGCATGGAAATAAATATACGCGTTAACTCCATTTACATATATTGAGATATCTATATATATTGGACATATATTTTTTCAGGGCAAGGTATTTCAAATCTAGCCATTCCACATTCCCATATGGAAAAAAGGTATTCGTATATAGCTAGAATATATGAGAATATATATTTTTTAAAGGTGAACTTACGGAAATGGTATATGATGCAGTCTATATAATAATATGTGACAACACGTACATGTGTATCATGTGTTTGAATATTTTTTATATGTGAAATTTTATATTGTCGATAATATAATGTGAAATATTTGTATCTTATTTTGAATTTATGTTTGTTGGATACCGATAGGATCATGAATAAAATACAATTCCAAAGAAAACAAAAATATATATAACGAATGTTTAGGAAAATCAAGAACTAATCGGCTTTATGAATAAAGACGTCTACAGAAATTTAATATCACTTTGTCGTTGTTAAAAATTTAAAGGCCTTTCAGTTGAAATTTCAAGCGTAATTTTCCAATAGTGTATTATTTTTCGTGTGGGTTCCGCTAAATCTTTGTTTCTTCGAAAGGAAAATCCTCGATTTGCGGAAAGCAGCGGGAGAAAAAAAAGGAGCGGCAAGCCGGTGTCAGCGACCTTTATCCCCCATGAATTTATTAGGGTTCACATTATCATCATGTGGAAAAAGAAAGGAGGAAAGTCGGGAGGAGGGCTTTCGATAAATCCACAATAATACGATGTTGGTGAGGTTGGCTGGTGGAAACGCGGATCGTCACGGCCAGTGGGTGGTGAAAGAGGTGGGGCACAGGTTAAACGTGTTATAGTCTCCAGTGTCAAAGGTTCAGTGCCGTTACC